TCAAGTCTTGTGATCAAAAGCGTGCGCCGACACCACTCGGGACGCTACCAGTGCTTCGCTAATAACTCGGAAGGAAGGGGGGGGGGGATTTGGTGGAGGGATGTAAGGAAAGCCTAAAACAGATGATGATTATTATCATATGAAGCATAGTATAGTAGATGGCAACCAATATATCTAACGTAAATACAAAGGCACCGGTACTCACAGAACACATTAAGTTTATATCCTATTTCAATGGTACTATTGGCCAGTCGTAGGTTCTCCGCCCGACAGGACAGGTAGGCTCCGTGATCATCGGCAGTGGGGGTGTACGTAATGGCACTGGTAGTCAAGTTGCCAATGGTTTGTGTGCGTTCACTATATCATAGAAAAATAGTTTGTATTAAATAAAAAACTTTAAACATATTTTGAAACCCATGTTTGAAAATCAAATAACAATTATGTAGACAATAGTATATATTTGTATTTTGAAAATCCTTTGAGATTATACTATATTTTGTATTATCATTGGACATGGTAAAAGTGTACACAATATTTAAATAAATTATAGCTCGCTATTTGTTTTGTTTTACGTATTCAAATAAAAAATAATGGATAAGTACGAGTAGTTTTAAAAATAAAGTCCGCTAAACAAATACGAGGCAAATTTTATATAAATGGATTTTTTTCTACATTTGTTTAGTTTGTCTAAAATGCTTATTATGTTTACAATCACTTAATTTTTTTGTTATTTCGAAAAATAAATATTTAGAAACAAATATTAAAAAATTCAATTTACTTTTGAAATGCTATTATTTATGAATTAAGCGATCAATACAGTTTATTATTAAATAGTAAAATATATTTATATCTCGTGTGTTACCATGCCCAAAATTGCAATGTTAAATTTTACTTTATGACTACTATATTGACCTAGCATATAATTTACAGTTGAAATAAATAATTATTATTAAAAACTAGTTGAAACATTATGATTATTTTATAATTAAAATAATATTATTATGTGCATGTTTAAAAAATACAGTTTTCAAAATTTATAAACCCCTTTTCAGTTCAGTATTTATTTTTCCCGAAAATTATAACCCAGTTAAAAATATTTCCACACAAACCTGGAATGACTTAATGGACGGCTATCTCGAAACCAGGATACCTGTGCCGGGGGTCGACTACCGGCTGTATTACACACCAGTTCCACGCTATTACCCGCCGACAGCTGACCCTCTAACGAGTTTAACCTAATATCCAATGGCTTTACTATATACAGGAAAAAAATGACACAAAAATTAATCTCAAAAATGAAAAACTAATTATCAATTAGTGTTTAATACAAAAAAGCCACAAAACTTACGGTTAATGTCTAACCGCACGGACGTCTGTATGGGTGCCGTGAAGTTGGGATTGGATGCCTGACACGAGTACTTGGTGTTCAAGTCATGTCGAGTCAAATTAATTATTAAGATGTCGTTACGTATTGTCTTATTATCGGCGCTATGGCTGTACGAGTCATCCATCATCTGATCCTCTCTGTACCAGAGCAGGGATGGCGGAGGTTTGCCTACGGATAGAGCACAGGGAGGTGTGTGTTAGACGAGTGATGCCACACAAACGGAAAGCATATATACTTTCATGCAATTAGTTTATCTTAATTTTAGTTTTTAAAATTCATTTCTTATTAAATATTAAAGAGTTATAAAAAAATATAATAAATTATTTATTACTATAGAGTATTGCACGAAGTTATTCAGTATATAAAAATCATAGATTTAATGTTCATATAAATAACATTCATATATGTGTTTTCAGTCCTTAGTTCTAGGTTTTTGTTATTATTTAAAATATTATTTTTAAAAACTTATTTTTAATTCAAAAACTTTATATCCCTCTAACAGTTAGAGTCTGACTAATGTTTTTTCATTTCAAAACAGTCGTATCTGTTTCTAGTCCTGAGCCAGATGTGTCCAATTAGCTTTCACAAATATTGTTACATTTATTGTGGCTTTTATGGGTTAACACATTGGTCTTTTAGCATGTAGTAAACCATATTTTTAATTATTGTACTACACTTTTTAACCCATAGATGACCAAAAAATATAACAATATTTGTGAATGGTACATCGGACACATCTGGACTCAGGACTGATCTGTTTTCTGTGCTTTCAGTGATATTTGATTGGATTATCAATTCATTGGTCACAATGTCTTCGGATGGACTCAATCGTCGTAAAGAAGTTGTCAATAGAAATAACGACACAAATGAGGAGAACGTGTCTCAAGAAGTGTCGCCCGAAAGACCACAAAAGCAGAGTATTATGAAGCGAGTGATGAGTCTAATGGCACTCTCGATGGCTATTCTTGTGATGGTTTACTACACGACACAAACCAATGACACCAAAGAACTGGTGATGGCTTCGGCCACTCAATCCATAACTGGTCCGCCGATCGCACAGCAAGTCATGTGCTCTCAAGAAGACTATACCGAAGACAGGGTTCGGTTCCCTTCGTGTGCGCCTCAAAGATGCGGACGTTTTGTGTCCGATTCGGTGATCACTGAATCGGAAGCCAAACACTTGCTGTCAGTGGCGAAGAGAGGCCTATCATTGGGCGGCTCGTCGGGCGGCGCCTCTTACCTGGGCCTCCATAACGGCAGACTGTCTCTGGCAACCAATTACGTGAATATCTATAAACTCATCGAAAGTACGCCGGAAAAGGCGGATGTGTTGACCGAAAAAGACTTAGAAGTCTACGGAAGTGTGAGAAACAAAGTCCGCAAAACGATTGCCACTCACTTCGGTGTCCCCGCGGCTCAGCTCTACGTAACGACGCCGTCGTATTTCTCAAGAATCACGACAAAAAGAGCCATGCACAAATACGAAGCGTATTGGCGCAGACACGTGGACAGACATCACATTAAGAGCGATCACTACACTTCTGTCATCTATTTATCGACATATGGCGCGGACTTTTCGGGCGGAAGCTTTGTATTCGCGGACGAGATGTCGAACCACACGATTGAGCCTAAGTTGGGACGACTCGTGTGGTATACGTCCGGCTCAGAGAACGAGCACTTCCTCGAGAGGGTCACCTCCGGGACCCGATATGCTCTCGTTATGGGCTTCACGTGTGACCCCAAGTTTGCGGCCACAGAGCCACACATTGTTAGACCGCATACATGCGCCCAACCATTTTGTTGTTTGTATGGGGTAGGCTGTCCAAACTTATATTTACTTTCACCCCAACAAATATTACAGATTAAATTATAGACTAAAGTGAATGCACTAAATATTTATTTTAGTTAAAATCCACATAAATCAGCCAGTAAAGTCGAAAACTTTTACGTAATTTAATTGAAATATGTTTCCTTTTATTAAATTAATTTCTATAATTAGTGCTCAAATTGATTATTATTATAAATCTATCATTTTTTGAACAATTAGTGTTTATAAATGTTGCAAATGATTGTGTTATGAATTTCAAATGGATATTCTTTTACTAGTGTTTTATATGAATGGTTTGTAGAGTATATTGCAACACATGTACCCTATGTTATTAGGTGTAGGGTACTAGTACTAATGAATTTCGAGGTATGCTATTATGTATAATATGTAAAATGAATTTAAATAATTTATTGTATAAATTAGGCTGACCCTGTATACGTACTGTACAGTCAACTTAAGTGAGTCTAAATGAATTGAAACAAATATGTCACGCGATATATAAATCACTTTTGGATTGAAGCACATTTAATGTTAAAACAGTGTCTAATTATTGATATTATAATTCATAAGTTTTTGCATAATTATTCATTAATTGGTATTAATTAATGCATGAGAGAGAGAGAGAGAGAGGGAGAGAGAGACTGTTTTGAAGTGAATTAATAGCAGGGATAATGGAAACCAAAAATTATAATATTCAATGCAATAAATTATTCTGACATTCAGAATATTCCCTAAATATAAAATACATATAAATCATGTATGACTTTGATTCATATATTGTAGTCACACTGAAAATAATACAATTTCTACGCTTATTTAGTGCATATTACTTTCTAATAGTAATATTGTTACTTATTTGTAACAATGCTACGCAATGTATTTTAAATATTAAATTTTCAATAATTGAATCTTAGACTATCAAATATTAATTTAATAAAGCTGATAAATATAATCAATGTAAATCATAAAAAACATATTCCATACCTCCTTCAGCCTCGCAAAGTAACCTCAGGTTAGAGTCCTCATCGTAAGGCCCGATAGTATCATGAAGTGGTCGACCCATATCATCCTTTATGATCACTTTTCGCGGAGGCACTGGTAGGTCAATAGGCAAACATATATATCATATTAATTTTAATTTAAATTTATTGTTAATTTTAATCTACAGAAACTTATACATAACATATATTTATATTACTCAAATCAAACTCACCAATAACATTGAGGCGTACGAACGTGCTCATAGTGCGGCCCCACCTAAAATCCACGCGGCACCGGTACTCATAGTCGTCGTCATCCCTAACCGGGTCAATCTTGAGCAATGCCGGTTGAGCGTTGAGTTTGAACTGAGCCCGGTTAGCCGGGAACACGTCCCCGCTAGCGTGATGCTTGCCCTGTATAAGGGGTGTGTCCCGGGCGTCCACTGTATATATGGGCGTCTTATTCTCGCCCCTATACCATAGTATTAGTGTTATGGCGTCATCCGGGGCGGGTGGGGTCACATTGCAGGGCAACTCTGCCCGACCACCTACGAGGGACTTGTAATCCGGATATACTGTGTATACAAATAAAATATATAATTGATTAATTTTTGTTATTAGAAATATATGATTAAGTTTACTGTATTTATAATTATAATAGCGTTTGATATCTAATCACATAAGTAATAATACAATAATATAATAGTTTGATTTATAAATGTTTTAATTATATTCAGACTGAATAGATTAAATTTATACATAATTTTGTTTTTGTTAAAAAGTCAATTCAAATGATATATATTTTATTTTTTATTACATTAGATAAACTTATAAACAAATGACAACAATAAATAAAAATAAAATGAACAAGCCACCCAGAATATTCCGATATAAAATTATCATAATAAGTAGGGCTGCCACCCGTCCTCCAATTGGAGGATTGTCCTCCAATCGGCCCCACAAAAAACAGTCCTCCCGAGGGTCTCAGGAGGACAATGGAATGTCCTCCCAGATATTTTTGCCAAAATATTTCAAATATTAATTTTATTCCTAGTTAAATTTGTAAATATTAAATATATGACTTTGATGTGAATATAAAATATTTATATAAACTATAAAATCATTGTTCGGAGGACAATAACAAGTGTTTTAAACATTAAAACAATAGTTTCTTATATTATTATGAGCACAGGAGGTAAAATTAAAAATAAATATTTCTTGTCCTCCCAATGTCCTCCTGACCTGCCTCAATTTTGGTAATTTGTCCTCCCGGGCTCTGAAAATAGGTGGCAGCCGTAATAATAAGTGGTATTAATCAATGTGAACTTGTATGTGGATGGGCGTGAAATATGTATTTTAAATTATGAAAATTATTAAAATTTATTGAATTTTTATAAACTAGCCATTTATATTCAGTGAAAGTTTTTTGACCCAAACATTTCGCATACTTAAAATTATTAATATACTATTTGAATGCAATTGTGATAAAACTACAATTGTTTTCAAATGATTGATTTCATAGGGGACCAGGGATGGGGATAGGGGTGGGTCTACAAAAAATGTCAGACTACGACATTAAACTTTAAAAACTATTTTGCCTAAATTGATATTAATTTAATAGGCAACTATTTCAATAGGCAAAATATTTGTCATTTAATTAATTATTAACAGCACAGAATTGTATTCGTGATAAAATATTTATTAACGTGCATTCAATTCAATATAAAAGCAATGAATGAAAATAAAAGTCTAATTAAATAAAAATATAAAAATACTTATTATGATTAATGCAAACAATTGGCGTTTAAATAAAGGGAATTGTTATCTAATATAGAAAATTAAATTTAAGACCAAAAAACATATCTATTTTGTTGGGCTGAAAGTCATGCGGAATAATAGGGAATAATATTTGAGACAAATATATAAATGAATAATACATTTGGATTGGAATGAATAGACATTGTTTTGCATTAATGTATTAGACATTAGTGTATATAATGCACAGAATATTCTTTGTGTGTGTATTAACTGTATTTTAGGATATATATGTACTTTTTGTTTTCAAATTCCGTATTCAATACTCACTCAATATCCCCAACATCTCAATCATAAATACATAACAAAAATGTCACAAAATATGGCAATATTTCTGTCGGATTTGTCTCACAAAATGCATTACTAATGGAAAAAAAAGTGGAGATATTTCTCTCCCATTAAGTCGTCGGTATATTTCGTATGGATACTATAAATATTTATTTCAGATTATCTCAATATAAATGCAAATCTTTTTTCTTTTATGTAAAACATTAAAAGATTTTAAAAGTTAATAATAAATATTATTATTTTACAAAAAAAATTTTTAATTTAGGAATACGGTTTTTATATACATTTGTAAATATTTAAGTCTAAAATTATTTTTATATTTCTTATAGTATTTATACTGTAGTATTTTTAAATCAAATTTTAACTTATAAAATATTATTAAATTCTGAATATATTCATAGCTATAGTAATGTGTTTCTTATACCGGGTGTTACAGTGAATGCCACAGAATATTCTTTATTGATTGCCACTAATTCTTAACCAAAAAGTATGCCAAATATCTCAGTCATTCCGTTAATGTGTAATCCCTTATGTGTGTGCCATTGACAACAAGCTAGCTATAGAATATGCCTGTGCTCTCTCTCTCTCTCTCTCTCTCACACACACACACACACACACACAGTGAGTGAGTGAGTGAGATATATATATATATATATACCAATAATAGCTGCAGTATTTCCTATAATATGGCATGGACGAGATAAGTTAAGATGTGATAATCCTTTTTTGCACTTTTTTTGCACTGGCATGTATTAAATGTACAGTATGCTATACCATACCATTCCCCTTATATTACAACACTGATTGTGAGATATGCAAGGGTTAACAGAAATTGCTTAAATTGTTTAACAAATCTTATACGGTATTGGATGTTAGTCCACTTAAAAATAAATTATAAGAATCTTAACTATTTTTATCTAGCTATAAAATATCATACTTATAAGTTATTACATTAATACTGTACTATATCCTTGTTAATCTGTTAATAAAAATCTACTGACACCTTCCCTACCTATTAGTTCACAGTAATAAATATATAAATATTATCTGGTTATTAAAACCCCATATATAACCATATATATAATGGCTGGCCTCCCGGTGCACTTTGCCATTTAAAATACAAATTCATTACAACCTCATACTTAGTCCTATTCTTACGACACGTTTTAAGCGTATTATGAAAAATAAATAAAAAATAATTAATTTTTTTCTCATTCAAGTCATACATGCCGTCAAATTCTGGGCCAATATTCCCATTCATTGAATGAATAATAAGATACGAAAAATAATTTGTATTTTTCATTGAAAATAATATATAGATATTTCAAATGCAGATCTCATTTTCGCTGACGAAAAAAATATATATATTTTAATTTGCAAATATATTTTTTGCCCGCAAAATGTTTTTGTACTACAAATTTAATTTAGAAGTTTTGGGCTAAAAATAAAACTTTAAATTTTCTAATCATACAAATTCTGTAGATATTAAGGTTGAAAAAATAATCATACTATTCCGGGTATGATATTCTGTATAATTTAAAAATATAAAATACAGCAAAATATATTAATTTTAAAATTTTTATAATTACAATAAATATTAATTACCAGAGGTCTATATTTAAGTTATAATTTGCAAACTCTTTAACATAATAATAAAAACTTTTATATTTGTCAAAACATTTAGCATTAATAAAATGTCAAAAGTTTTATATAAAAATTCCCAAGCTATAAATCAGTTGATAAAACAATAAAATAAAATCGATTTATCACACAAAATATAAAAACCAAAAATCATAATCTATAATAAAAACAATTAAGTCACTTGATAAAAAATATAAAAACCATTTTCAATAGTATATTAAAAAATACAATAAACTCTCACTGTAGCCATCAATTCGCTGAATCCAATGCACAGAATATTCTGTACACAGAATTCTACACTATTTATCGCACGTATAATCTCTAACAACACACGACTACTACTATCTCAAGAATTTGTGTTTCCATTTGAAGTGTATAACAAAATGCAATAAATTATCAAACGATTTATTATAACAAACAAATACATCAGACATTATCAGTGATGGACAGACAGCCTGTCCCTATGCACTACTAATACATACCGCTGTGGTCTTCCCGTCCACTTTGAGGCCGCAGTTTAATCCCAGGTATGACTGAAAAACACAATGTTATAGATAAGGCGTTAGTCTCTAATTTAATACCCGGAATATAATATATGTGTGTGTGCAAGCATATTTTATATCAAGCACAGAATATTCTGTGCCCAACTATATTTCCTATACTATACGTAAAACTCGATCATTCCTATCATTTATTTACTCTTAGGATTCATTTCAGACAATTTCTGGGCTTTAAGTTGTCGTCAGCGCCAGAGATAATATGTAACTCAAGACAAAGGCTTTTATTTTTAATGTTTCGCTGAGAGAGAGAGAGTTCAGGAATAAAAGGCTTTCCGAAAACACATCGACAGACACTCCGAGAGAGACAATGGATTGCAATTCAAAGTCAGAGACAATCGTCGGCTAAACAACTGTTTGCGCCAATCGTTTGTCTATTTGTATTGACTCTAACGGTGCTCTGATATATATATATATATAACTTTCCCCATTTCACTCATCCCTATCACCTATCAGTGGTGGCTATTGATAGGGCTGACTGTCTGTCCCCACTCATTGTTTTTATTGGTATTTACGAGCGGTACCGGTAAAAGCTCCCGGTGCTTAATACTTATTTATTTAGCTTGTTTCTGGTGTACAGTATTAATTAGTAATGGATGTGCTTTTAATCTGTAAATAATTTGACACATTTTTTTTGTTATCCATTGATTTTCATGTATTTTGTAATATATAAATTGTATGGGATTTGTATTATAAAAACAGAGTAAAAATAAATTATTAAATAAATATTATTATATATAAAATTAATATAATTTGACAATTATGTTAATATAAAACATTGATTATATTTAGGGCTGCCACCTATTTTCAGAGCC